TCTGCCACACACTGGACCGCTGTTGGATCCCCAGCTGTGACCCCCGACCTCCTTTTGGTCTCGGCACAGCTTCCTACACTTGGACGTCCTCCCCAGGCCCTGCCCAGGCCGGGGCCTTTGTAGCACCTCGGAAGGGAGTGAGATGTCCGGGAGCCGCCTGCCCTCCATGCCGCACGCACAGGGTCACCTCCTTCAGGGGTCGGGCTCCAGAAGCTCAGCCAGCCCCTCCTGCCCCTCCCACGGGCCAGGCCCTCCTGGCGCCTGCAGGTCTGGTCTGGTCAGCCCGGCCCTCCCTCCCTGCCTCCTTCTCAGCCTTTGCTCTGCTGGTCCGTGCGTGGCTCCCTGTGGAAGGGCAGCGTGGGAGGGGCCGTGGGTGCAGCTGGTCCGGGGCAGCCACAGAGCCTGACCTTTGAGCATGCGGTCAATATAAAGACTATCAACGAGAAATTTTACGTCCTTTTTTCATACTAAGTCTCCCAAATCCCTCACGTATCTTAAACTCGCAACGTGTCTTGGGACCAGGCACATCTCACACGCTCAGCAGCACACATGGCCGGGGGCCGGCACACGAGAGCCGCCAGTGCTGTGGAGGGACTCGGGCCGCTTCCTCTGGCTCGTCTCACTGCCGAGCCAACAGTGGAAACGCCAGGTGTCCAGCTGCAGGCTGAATGTACCAGAAAATACCTCTGGATTTTTGGCAAGTGAAAGTTGAAAACAGGAAGCTCAATTTTTGCTTTGTGATAGTTCCCAAACAACAGCGTGGAATCTGCTTTTTCCCGACGGTTGAGGGAAAGCTGTAGAGCGTATTTGCTGGGACTTACGTTTTACATCTGCTAGAAAAATGCAGGTGCTCAGGGGGCCTCAGAGAGACCCTGCCAGGAGCTGGCACCAGGTGCTGTGGCTGTGCCCGCCCTGACTTCCGGAACCCTCCTGGGGCCCTGCCCGTCCCACGTGGCCACCCTTATGGCGGCACCCACTCGTCAGAATGCAGAAGCCCCAAAACATTGATGTGCAAAATGCAGAATGCTTGAAGTCACTAATCTCACAGAACTGCATTGTTTCACTTTAAAGTGTTCAAAGATTTAAAAGAAAAAAAAATTTTTTTTCCAAAGATGAGGTCTCTCTGTTGCCCAGGCTGGAGAGCTGTCGCTGTTCACAGCCATGATCACAGCTCACTGCAGCCTCGAACTGCTGGGCTCACGTGATTCTCCTGCCTCAGCCTCCTGAGTAGCTGGGACTACAGGTATGGGTCCCTGTGCCCGGCTTAAACAATTTTTTTGAGGCTGTGCCTTTGCAGTCAAGCCCGAGCCACCCACAGATCTGATCTCCCCCTAGGGACTAGGGCAGCATTCCCATTTGTGGACTCATACAGTGCGGACTGTGGGGATCGCTTTCTTTCCCTCAGAAAAATGCTGTCAGCGTGTGTCCGTGTTGCCGCCTCTGTCGTAGTTCATGTGTTGCTGGGGGCTGTTCCATGTGTGGCTACCGCAGCATTTATCATTTATTGATAGGTATTTGGGTTGCTCCCAGTTTTAGGCTATTTTGCATAAAGCTGCTACGAACACTTGTGTACAGGTTTGTGTGGACATGTGTGTTATTTTTCCTGGGTAAATACCTAGGAATGGAATGGCTAGATGCATGGAAGGTCTGTGTTTAACTCTCTCAGACACTGCTCGGCTGTTTTGCAAAGCGGTCACATTGTTTACCTTCCCTTCAGTACTGTGAGATTTTTACTTGGGATTGTCTGTTTTTAAAATTTTAACAGTCTTAGAGGGTACAGAGCTATTTCATTGCAGTTAGAACTTTATCTCCCTGTCCCTGGCGTCTGCAACTAGACGCAAATCATTGTCCCCTACCCCAGCGTGGCAGCCAGAACCGTCTCCAGACATCACCGGATGTCTCCTCCAGGGCAGATCGCACCCGCCGAGAACCACAGCCTCGGTGTGTACGGGTCTCAACCAGCCGGCCTCCCGAGAGTGAAAGGGAGGCAGAAAGTTGGGATCTAGAGGGTGAACAGTGAGACGGGCTCTGCCATAGTGGCGGTTCTCAGACACGTCCTCCTGCCTGACACTGGGATCATGCGCACGGCGCTTCCGCGGATGCGTTAGATTCTGAAGGACGCCAACTCAGTTACATGCAGAACACTCCTCCGCTGACCCAGCAGGAACATGAACATGCCAGTGCGTGAAGATGATGGTGCTGAAGGGGTCGAATCACTGCCCCACCCCCCAAAAGACATACCCAAGTCCTGACTCCCAATACCTCAGACCGTGACCTTCTTCGGAAACAGGGTCTTTGCACATGTGGTCAAGTTGAGACGAGGTCAGTGACCCTTGTCACCCCGTGATCGGTCACTGCGTCGGGGCTCACAGGTGCTGCCCGCACAGCCTCGTTGGGAGACCGGAGCAGCGCTCTGTTCGCAGAGGCAGGTGGGGCGGAGCTTGCAAGGTGCAGGTCCGGGCGCCGGCGCCCAGAGGCTCACCCCGTCCCGGGGTGCTGCGTGGCCTGTGCGCTTCCCTCCGGCCTTCACACCTGAGGCGATGGTGTTTCAGGAGTTACTGAAAACCCTCAGGAACCCTCCGTGGAAGCTGCCCTCCACCTTCTCCTCCGTTCCTGGGTGGAGGCCGGCAGGGCTGGCCCTGGGCGAGTGTCGTGCTGGGAAACGCCCGCGTCACTGCCGCAGGAACCCTGGGCTGCAAAGCCGGGACCCTCCCGCCCCAGTCGTCCTTTCTTCATCTTGCCTACAGGGCCCTGAAGTCAGGGAGCTGACGGCTGCTGGTCTCGGAGGACACACGGGATCCCCCTTTAGAGGCCCCCCCAGCAGGCTTCTCAAAGGGTTGTTGAGGCCTCACAAATGCGGCCTTGCTGGGAGCCATGTTCAAAGCCCTCAACCCCAGACGCTTAGCCAGGTCTCAGGCTGGCACCCGACTGACGGGGCCAGCGTCGTGGGGCGTCCACCTCACTGGGATGCCGGTCTGGCTGCACGTCCTCGAGCGGGAGGGCAACTTCGATAAAGCACCCCAACCTCAGCACCCTGTACCCCTGACCCTGCACCCCGACCCCAGCGCCCCCGACCCCAGCGCCCCACAGCCCCGACCCCAGCACCCTGCACCCCCGACCTCAGCATCCTGCATCCTTCCTCCTGCTCCGGAGGAGTTTCCTCCTGCGTGGCCAAAGAGAAAATAGACCGTGAGAGCGGGTGGGGGATGGGATGAAGCAGTGGGGGAGGGGAGGGGTGAAGCGCCTGGTAGAGCAGAGGCTGCTCATGTATTAGGGTTACGGTCCATCCTGAGTTGACTTTTGTGTGCTGTGAGGTAGGCGTGTCCCGTTCATTCTTTTGCGTGGTGTCCAGCGCCGTTCATTGAAATGACTGTTCTTGACGCCCCTGAATTGTCTTGGCAATCTCATTTGAAATCAATTGGTCGTAAGTGCTTGGGTTTATTTCCGGACTCTCAATTTTATTCTGTGCACATCTGTGTCCTTATGCCAATACCACATAGTCTTGATTACCGTAGCTTCGTAGTCGGTTTTTAAATCAGGAAGTACGAGTTCTCCAACTTTGTTCTTTTTTAGGATTGTTTTGGCTATCCTGGGTCTTTTGTATTTCCTCATGAGTTTTATCATTTTTATGAGGTTATCATTTTCTTCCAAAAAGGCAGTTGCAATTTTGAGAGGACTGTTTTGAATCTGTAGATCAATGGGGAAGCATTGTCATCTTAACAGTGTTGTCTTTCGGTCCATGAAAATGGGACATTTATTTTCAGTCTTTCATTTCTTTCAATGATGTTTTATAATTTTCACTGTATAAATCCTGTACTTCTTTTGTTAAATTTATTCCTAAGTGTTTTTCGTGCTATTGTAAATGGAAGTGTTTCTTAATTTCATTTTTGGATTGTTTGTTGCTAGTGTATAGAAATACAATTGAGTTTATGTGTGGACCTTATATCCTACAACTTTGCTGAACTCTTTAGCACAGATGTGTGTGTGTGTGTGTGTGTGTGTGTGTGTGTGTGTGTAATTATATTCCTTGGGGTTTTTTACTTACAGGATCATGTCATCTGCAAATAGAGATAGTTTTACTTCTTCCTTTTCAAGTTGTATAGGGTTTATTTCTTTTTCTTGCTTAATTGCTCTGGCTGGAACGTCAAGCACAGTGGTGAATAGAAGTGGTGAGAGCAGATCTCGTTCCTGGCCTTGGGGGAAGCTTTTGGTCTGTCACCGTCTAGTGTGTCAGTAGCTGTGGGTTTTTGTGAATGCCCTTCATCAGCTAAAGGACATTCCCTTTCACTCTTAGGTTGAATAGTTTTATCACGAAAGGGTGTTGGCTTTTGTCAAGAGCTTTTTCTGCCGTCTGTTGAGACAATCATGTAAATTTTGTCCTTTGTTCTATCAATATGGTATATTATGTTGATTGATTCTCATATGCTGAACCATCCTCACAATCCTGAGGCAAATCCACTTGGTCACAGTCTATGAAAGGCTCAGTTTATGAGTATTTTTGTTGAAGAATTTGCATCTATATTCGTAAGGGATATTGGTGTATAGTTTTCTTGTGATCTTTTTATCTGGCTTAGGTATCAGGGTGATGCTGGCCTCATAGAATGAGTTAGGAAGTGTTCCCTCCTCTTCTACTTTTGGAAGAGTTTGTGAAGGATTGGTATTAATTCTTTAAACATTGGTAGAATTCACCGGAGAAGCTCAGTTTGCTTAGGAGCTCTACTGGCTGCCAGAAGCAGAGGGGACGCCTCCGTACTCAGCGAGGCCGGTGAGCATCGGCACAGGAACACGGCCGGCGGGGGCTGCACGTGGCTGCTCCCCCGTCTCAGCCTTGGGCTGGACACCACTGGTCCAGTGGCAAAGTCCCTTGAACGCTGTCCCTGTGGAGAAGGGACACGCAGCAGATTCATTGTCTCTTTCTGAGTGACACTTTGTGGGAAGTAGATTGTAGGTTGTTGGCAACAAGCTGTTCATTTCTGTTGACTGTCAGTAATTGCTTCCAGGTTTTTACCTCAAATGGCCCAACAGTGATCATGCCTACCTGGTTCTGCTCTCGTGCGTGGTTTTCCCACGTGGGCCCTTTTGACGAGGGAGGTCAGGTAAGTGCCAGCGCGGGAGTCGGGTCCTCTGGCGGGTTCTTCCCTCTGGGGTGGGGGAACTGTTATCAGCTGTGTGGGTTCCCCGCACACCTGGCTGCTCTCAGCCCTGACGCACCTATGGGGCTCTGGGGTTTAGGAAGTTACTGACTGCGAAGGTCGCCCCATCCTCCTCCTGCTGTGCCCACAGCCTCTCGATTGTTTTGTTGGAAAAAGGGGATTTCTGTGTGAAGGCTGTGGCCGCCCAGGGCACCTGCACCTGATCCTCACCTGCCCGGTGAAGTCTCCCTGGCTTTAGGCCCCAGGTCGCCTCATCCTGGGTTAGAGCTGTGCGTGGGAAAGCACAGGATGCGGAACGTGTTGGCAGGGTTGACAGGGAGAGGAGCCCGTCCTGTCCGTCAGGGTTGAGCCACAGCCATCTGTCCACACGGGGCCCGGCCCTGTCCTCTGCGTCTTTGCCTACCTGTGGACCCGGGCCCTGGGCGGGGGCATCACCTGCAGGGAGCTGGCCACGCTCAGCCCATGCCGGTCGCTGGCAGGAAGGCGCCGGGACACACACAGGCCGGCAGCGGTCTGGGCACAAGGCTCCTGGGGGTCTGGAGACCGCAGGCCAGAGGAGGAGGTGGCCAGTGACTCAGGCCCAGCCTCCACCTCCTGCGTGTGTGATCTGGGCCGAGTCTGTCTTTCTTGCCGTAAGCCTCGGTTTCCTTATCTGGTTTGGGGTTAGCAGTTCACCAGCGGACGGGTACCACGTGGTCCCTGCTGCCCTCTCCCTGGTCCCTCCCACCTCACTGGGAGGAGAGGCCAGCTTCCACACTGCTCACCCCCTCAGATGGCCAGGATAGCCCACCCACGGTCACCCTGAGCTTGGCAGGTGGCTGCACTGCAGTCGTCCTGCTCTGCCTGTTCTGCTCCTGGGAACTTCCCCAAAGTGAGACAAGCCACACTCATGACTCCCTGGATCAGCTCTGAGTGTCCCACCGGCCTCTGGCACTTGCAGTGTGTTCTGTCTCCACACCTGGAGACTGGCCCACCCTGTGCACCAGGACCTGATCCACGTGTCTGCTCGAAGCTCGTCTCCTGCCCTGCTAGGCTGCCACAGCAATGCGTCCCTGGGACCGAGGGTGTCAGGAGGGGCCTCAGCCAGGCCCCACCGTGCTCCTCTGGTCCCCGGGCCAGGACGTGCCCACCACCGCCCTGCGGACACAGAGCTGCTCTGCCCTTGCAGAGTGGACAGCCTTTAGCTGGGAAGATGCATCCGGTTTTATACTCACAGAGGCAGGGCTGGAGGGTCAGAGATGAGTGAGATTCGGGGTGGGCGGTGACTCTGTGCTGGAGAGGGGAGGGCCCCGCTGAGGCAGCAGGTGTCCCTGTGGGCAGCCGGCCCTCAAATAAAGTAACAGAGATGACGTTTTCTTGGTTCAGACAGGTTTACGAGGGCAGGTATGGCCTTAAGAAGGCTTGTCATTGCCACAGGACGGACCTGCTACTCAGAAAAACTGCCACCAGGCACAACAGACACGTTTTGATGTGTTTTCCTGTCTATGGGATAAATGCCTAGGACCAGGGCCACCAAGTGAGATTTATGAGAAACCCGTTTGCGCACAGGGACGCCGCTGGGCCCGCCAACACGGGTTCCCGTCACCCAAACCGCTGTGTTGTCCGTCCTTCCATTTGTCCTTCCTGGCAGGAGCTGTGATCTCTCACCGCACTTTGAATGTGCGTTTCCAGAGTGACTGGTGACCTGGGGCAGTTTCTCACATTATGTTCTGTGCAGGGTCCGAGTCTCTGGCCCAGTTCTGAGGGTGGTCTCTCCGTGGTCGGATGCTGGTGCTCTGTCAGATGTCACTTTGCGCATGTTTCCTCTGCTTCTGGTCTCTCCTCGCTGGGACTCCCTCACCTGCAGTTGCCCTGAGGTCTTTAGAGCAGGACTTTGCGTTTCCGCCTGCGTCTTGCGGTCTCGTCTTCCTCCCTCCTGCTCCCGCAGGCTCGAGTCCTGCACAGAACTCACGGCTGTCGTCTGACTGAGGGCGGCGGCTCGGCCCATGCTGGAAGCCATCGGCCACTCCTGTACTTTTACACGTCCTCTGGGTACCACGGAGGATTTTCGTTCTGTCCTAGTGGTTATCTCTGCACCGACCCTTTTTCGAATGCCTTTGATCCCGTGTTGCCTGATTAAGCCTTTTACGTCTGGTTGGTTTTCGTCGCTGGAGGTGTTAACATTTTGACTCCCACTTGTTGCCGGCACAACGCTCAGCGAGGTTGCCCTGCTTCCGTCTTTCTCCCCTCTTTCCTCCCATTTTTGCCCACTGTTTCTCGTATTTCCGAAGATAAACGTTCACGCAGCAGTTTCCAGCCTGGTCTCTGTCTCTGCCGACTTCCACCTGCTGTCGTGTCCCGTCTCTGCCGCGTGGCTGAGCAGACGGTTGTCCAGTCGGCCCTTGGCCTGACGAAGCTGTGCTGTCCTCGAGTCCTGCGTGTGCAGAGCTGCTCCTCGGGCCTGGTACTTGGGGGGTTGGCTGGGCGGGGAATCCTGGGTTCACACTGTGTACCTTGCGTGTCTTGGAAGTGTTAGTGCTGTTGCCTTGAGAAGCCTGATGTGCGTGAGTCTCGCCTCTGTCAGCTGCGTGGCCTGTTTGCCTAGAGACTCTGAAAATTGTTTTTTGCTGTTCAAGTCTAGTAGTTTCACTAGGATTTGTCTTAAAGTTGATCTGATGGGGCTTTTCAGGGTGTAGAACTAGATTGGCTTTTATTTATGAAAAGCTTTCTTGGCTTGTAGTTTTAAATATCAGCTACGTTCCATGGCTTTGTTTCTGTTTCAGAGACTCCAGTTATATTGGTTAGATTTTCTTAGTCTTCCATTTCTACAACTTTCTCTCAAACTGTTTTACTTCTTTCTTTGTACAATTTTCATTTTCTTTGTTACTTGTCTTTCTTCAGTGTCCCTTATTTTTGTTAAAATCTGTTTTCCCTTGAGGATCTTGTAATTTAGTCTTCATTTCTCACATAATTTTGTCTCTTTTTTTCTATTTCCTTTTTGAGTTTAATCAACCCAGTTTTATTTAAGAGCTTTATTGAAGTATAATTCACATATCATAAATCACTTATTAAAATGTGCAATTCAATGTATTTTGGCAAGTTCACTGTGATATACAGTCATCACCACAATCTAATGGTGGAACATTTTCATTCCCCAGAAAGAACTGTGTGCCCAGGATCCGCCTGTCCTCACCCGGCACCAGCCTCCCGTCCTCATCCTTTTTTTGGGGTCCCCCCTTCTGGGGTCCACTTTTGCATTTGGTCACCGAATGTCCCAGTCAGGATGGGTCTCCACCCCGCCCACGTCCTCACGTGGTCACTGATCTCGGAGGGCTGTTTACAGGGTTGTTTTTTCTGTTTCGTGGTTTGGGGGGTTGTTATTGAGAGGGAAGGGGTTGAATTTTATCCATGGGAGTGTTTGGTTCCTGTTCTCAGTTTTCTTCCTGTGCATTTTGTGCAGATGAGGACTTTGCTCACCCGTGCGTGTCTGCGGACAGACCCGGGTTACCTGATTCCTAACTCAAGGTCGCCCCCTTCTGTCACTGCGTCGTGAGTGCAGCCTCCGGGACCGGGGAAGGGGCTGCGGAGAGGGGTCGATTCTGTTCCTCTGTCTCGGGAACTGAGCCTCTGGCCCACCAGGTCCTCAGCGTCTGTGCTGGGCGGGCCCCCCCTCCCCCATCCCGGGAGCGACTGTAGTTCCGACTTCTCTTCCATGCAGTTCTTTTGGACGCTGCCATCCCCCAAAGGCCGCTGCAGCTGGTGAGGCAGCTTTGTGCTTTGCTGATGGTCCTGCGATCAGATCTGTCCCTGTGAAAATGTAGATTTTGGAGGATGTGTTGAAAGGTTTGGGTTTATGTGGCCACATTTCCTTAGTTACCCTGCAGCCTTCCTTGACTTTTTCTAAGCTGTGACTCCTGTGACTTCTCCTCCTCCTACCACAGCCCAGCCATGGGGACACCCACCGACCCCGAGTCCCAGGCTCATTATGTGCAGGTGTGTGTCCTGGAGGCTGCTGAGTGGATCTGGGGGAGACGTGAGAGCAACGGTCCAGGTCCCTGGGACACGGCAGCAGCCGCTGGGGGAGGGGCAGGAGGACGAACCTCTGCCCTTGGCATCCCCTCCTCGTGGGGGCAGGGGCTCCTGCAACTAAGCCCTCAGTTTTTTCTTTTTGCTAGAAATAAGGAAACCCCAAAGGTCAGGTTCTTCCTGGTCATGAGAAGAGTGAACACCTGTTTTCTCTCTTCCTAACCCCGTAATGTGTTCAGAGTTCCAACATGCTCTTTAAAGTTGCCTTTGGAAACACAGAAAGTTAGGAAAAAGAAAAAGTGACTACATCACCTGTTTAAAGTGATGTGCTAACCAGTACACCTTAGAAATCTTGACCCTAAATTACCTGCAAACCTGCACAACTGCTCTGAGTTTCTGCGATTCCTTGGTCTTTATTATGGATAAACTTTTAGTGCAATTGTAAACGTAATTTTGACACCTGTTTTTTAACTTAGTATTTTATTCTAAATCTTTTCGTATCATGGTCTTTGTAAAAGCTATTCCGGTTGGGTGCAGTGCCCGTCAGTGCTGCGTCTGATCTGCTCAGCTGAGGCCGTTCGCGCCGTTGACGAGCCGCCGTGGAGCCCGTGGGTTTCTGTGTGGAGGGCCCTTCCTTAGCGGAGCTGCTTTGTCGTTGCAGCCTTAAGGGTGGTTTTTCAGACCCCACGAAAACATAGAGTCCTGTATAGACTTCCTGGCTGGGATCGAGTTAGGGTGGCTTTCTGCAAGGACTGTGGTGAGCGGTCCTGGGCACGAACGTAGCGTTTCAGAGCTGACTTCAGGAATAGATCAGCATCAGGAAACAGGATGAGTCCAGCTGCCCGCCGGGCGTGGCAGTCCCCCTGTGCGGGAGGAAGCTGGCTGCACTCGCTATTAAACTGTCTTCCGAGTTCGAGAGCCGTGCTAGGCTGCCCCAGGCTCCAGCAGACACCTGCTGACCCAGACGGGCCCAGACTTGGGCCGCAGAGAGGGGTGAGCGGACGGCAGGGTCGCCCCTCTCCCTGGTCAGGGTCTTCTCCAAGCTGGGGGAAGGAGGGCCAACTTCTCACAAGACAGAAAAATCCAGAGGGAATGTGCAGAAGGCTCCCGGGCGGAACCCCTCGTGGTGAATTAGCCACATTGGCCAAGGTTCAAGCGCCCGAGTCTGGACTCGGCAACGTGACGCTGGGTCCTGAGGCTGCACCTGCCCCTCGCTGGGCTCCCTGTGAGCACCACCCACACCACCGTCCTGTGCCCACAGTGGACAGTTCGAGCCCCTGACCTTTGGCCTCGGGAGCAGGGTGCCAGCTGCCAGCAGGACACCGCCAGCCTGAAGCCGGGGAGACAGCTGGACAGACGGCTGTGCGGGGACCTCAGGCCTGGACCCCACCCCGTTTCCTCAGCTCCCTGCTCCCCCGCAGTCCTTTTCTGCCCAGCAGAGTGAATTCCAGGCAGGAGCAAGAATGCAGAGCGTCTGGTTCCAGCCCACTCCGCCTGTTTTAGGGTCCATTTTTCCGACCCGTTAAGAACATCCGTTGCTAACGTCCCGTCCTTGTGGCCATCACCCCACATCCCTGTTGGGTCTCTAAACTGGTTTCTTAGCAACAGAAGCCTTTTTACCAGTTTCTGATCGCCTGGATTAATGCACACGTGAAACACATTTGGGACGGGCTTGTTCTTCTCGCGAGAGAGAAACACCAGCAACAGTTCCTGCTCCTCTCGCCCTTCCAGGGCGTGCCGGAGGACCTGCTCTTCTTCTACGAACACCTCAGGAAGGGCGGCGGGGTCGTCCGGGTGGACCAGACCCTGCTCCTCTACCGCTACCACCCACAGGCTGCCACACACTCCGTCCTCGAGTGAGTAGGTCCCGGGAGGCCCAGGGTGGGCGGGGCAGACTCGGTGGCTATGGCCAGGGCTCCGCTGGCAGCTCGAGTCCCGTAGGCAATGGGGAAACGGTGCGCGAGGCGTTCTTGGAGGGCGCATTTCCCAAAGGGGCCGGGGAGCCCAGGGGGAGGGCAGATGTCTGTGCAAGGTGTCCTTTGGAAGTCTCACTCTCGCTCGATTTACCCTGGCTCGACTGTGGAGTGGGAGTGCAGACATCCGCTGGGGCGACAGCTGGGAGGGGCCACACCCTCCACCCGGGGCGTCACGGCAACCGGGAGACCGAGCCGAGCCTTGGGCGGGTGAAGAAGGCCCGAGGCTCCCTCTTCGTGCCCCCACAGGCTGGGCGTGGGCTCGAGGCTGCTGTTCTGGGACCTGGGCAGGGGCGGGGAAGTCAGGGTGAAGAAAAGGAGGGGAGTGTTTGCCCCTCTTTGCTTCGAACCGTACGTGTGAAACAAGCGTCGGCCCACCCGTCACCTGTGCCCCTCGCCGCAGGGCTGCGCACGCTTGGCCCCCTGGACCCGGGAGGAGTGGCTTCAGGTGTCCTTGGCTGTGATGAGCCTGACGCAGGGTCTTGCCTTGAGTCTCAGGGAGCAGAGTGACTCTGTTCTCGCCCTGGGCAGGGCTGAGACTCGTTGTGGGGTTGTGGATTATCCGATGGGCTTGGGCCTCAGACCTCAGCATCCAAGTGGACTCCGGTGGTCCTTGAATTTTTGCACATGTGCTATTCAACATTTAAAAACTTTGCTTCTTTGTTTACAGCTTTAAGCAAAAGAACTTGCCTTTGTGTTTTCTCTTGCCTTTTGTTAGATCTGAATTTTGATACAGTAGCTGTAGCAGAGCATCATTGTTGGGGAGTTTGTTGTCATGAACCTGACCCACTGGTATGGTTCACACACCTGGATAAAAGGTCACTTAACAAGAAAACGTAACACTCCTAAGTGTGAGCCCCTGGTAAGAGTCTTAAAACACAAGAAGCAGAAACTGACAGGAATGAAGGAGCCATAGACAAATGCAGGATTATAGCTGGAGAGCTTAACTCTCCTCTCAGTAACCGACAGAAGCAGGGAAAAGGCCAGGCGCGGTGGCTCACACCTGTAGTCCCAGCTACTCAGGAGGCTGAGGTAGGAGGATCACTTGAGGTCAGGAGTTTGAGATCAGCCTGAGCAAGAGCGAGACCCTGTCTCTAGTAAAAGTAGAAAAATTAGCCGGGCATGATGGTGGCACCTGTAGTCCCAGCTACTCAGGAGGCTGAGGCAGGAGGATCACTTGAGCCCAGGAGTTGGAGGCTACAGTGAGTTACGATCATGCCACTGCACTCCAGCCTGGGCGACAGAGCAAGACCCTGTCTCCCCACTCCAAAAAAAAAAGGAAAAAATCTGTAATAACAAAGATTTGAACGACACTATTAACCAACTTGACCTAACTGACATTTACAGAACCCTGCACTCAACTGCAGAGTACGTTCAAGGCCAAGATACATATTTTGGACTGTAAGACAAGTCTTGATAAATTTTAAATGATTGTAGTTACACAGGGTATGTTTTATGACCACTGTCTTAGTCCGCTCAGGCTGCTGCGACAGAACACCAGGGACACAGGGTTACGAGTGACAGAAACTCACTTCTCACAGCTCTGGAGGCTGGAGTCTCAGCAGATTCGGAGTCTGGGGAGGGTTCCTGGCTCAGCCACGGCGTCCTCCTGCTGTGTCCTCACACACGGGCCTCTCCGGGGTCTCTTATAAGGGCACCAAGTCCTGACCACCTGCCAAAGGCCCCACATCCCAACCCCGGCACTTGTGGTCAGGGTTTCCACATGAACTCCAGGGGGACACGAACACTCGCTATGTAGCAATGGCACAGAATTAAATTAGAAATCATTAAGACATCTTGAAAGTCCAAAAGATTCAGAAATTAAGCAGCCAAGGAGAAACGTCACAAAGAAAACTAGAAAAAATGTAATAACAATTAAAACATATGTCAAAGTTTGTGGACTGCAGCTAGCAGAGTTCGCAGTGTAATTCTATGGCTGTAAAAGCTTGTGAAAGAGGAAACAGCAATTATCTAGGTTTACACTTTAAAAAGCTACTACGGCAACAGCAAAGTAAACTTCGAGGAAATAGAAGGAAAGGAATAAGTGTGGAAGATGATGGAACTGAAAATAGAAAGTCAATAGAGAAAATCAGCAAAGCCAAGAATTGGTGGTTTGAAGTAAAATCAGTAAGACTGACAAACCTCTAGCAAGACCGATTTTAAAAAGAAAAAACAGAATTAGCAGTACTGGGAATGAAAGGGGTTATCATAGAGATTCTACAGATATTTCAAGAATAAATAATAATTAATAATTAGTAATTTTAAAAGTTTCCACAAAGAAAAGCCAAGCCAGATGGCTTTGCTGACATGTTCTATCAAAAGATTTAAGGGAGAAATAGTACCCATCCTCCACAGATTCTTCCAGAAAACAGAGAAGCAGAGAGCGCTGTGGGTGTCGCGAGGGAGCCCGACTCGCCGCGTGAGCGCCAACGTGCTGCCAGGACGTTACGAGAAAGTCACGCTGCAGGCCGATACCTGCCATGTAAATGGTACAAAAATCATCATAACATATTAGCAAATAAAGTTCAAAAATACTTTACGTGAAACAATAATACATCATGAACACAAGTCTGGTTTAACATTCAAAAATCAATCAGTGTGGTTTTTTACATTAACAGAATAAAGGAGGAAGGTCACATAATCAACCCAATGGATGCAGAAAAAGCATTTGATAAAATGTAATACCTGTTCATGATTTTTAGAAAATGCCAGCAAACTGGAAACAGAAGGGAAATTTGTCAATCCGAAAACACCTCCAAAGACTTGCGGCCTCAGACTGAGCAGTGGCCGACTGAGAGGTGCCCCGAGGCCAGGGCAGGCAGGTGTCTGCTCACCATCCCGCAGTGGCCAGTGCAGTGAGACAAAGCACAGACAGTCGGAAGTGGAGGTAAAATTACCGTCTGTAGATGGCATGATTGTGTCTTGTAGGAAATCAGGACCAATAGTTTAGCAAGTTTTCCAGGATACAAGTTCAGTTTTATTTATTTATTTTTTTTGAGACAAAGTCTCACCGTCACCCGGGCTAGAGTGCCGCAGCATCAGCCTAGCTCACAGCAACCTCAAACTCCTGGGCTTAAGCGGTCCTCCTGCCTCAGCCTCCCAGGTAGCTGGGACTACAGGCATGCGCCACCATGCCCGGCTAATTTTTTCTATATATTTTTAGTTGTCCAGCTAATTTCTTTCTATTTTTAGTAGAGACGGGGTCTCGCTCTTGCTCAGGCTGGTCTTGAATTCCTGAGCTCAAATGGTCCTCCCGACTCGGCCTCCCAGAGGGCTAGGATTACAGTTCAGTTTTATATATATGTAAAATATAATTATATTTACATATATGCCATATCTATAGAGTAACAACAAATGAAAAATGCAGGTTTTAGAAAAAATGTACAACAATGGCATCAGAAGCAAAATACTTAGGAGAAAACTTAACAATGTGTGTGTGTGTCCTCTACACCTAAAACTACAAAAAAAATGCTGACAGAAAATGAAGACTTTTAGGGAGAGAGATACGCCAAGTTCGTGGGTTGGAAGACTCAGCATCGTCAACGTGTCGGTTCTCCCCACGCTGATCTACGATGGACGCAATCCCAGTGAAAGTCCCAGCGGGCCTCGCTGTAGAAATTGATAATGTGATTCCGAAATTCACATGGAAATTCAGAGGACCCGGAATGGTCTAAACAATCTTGAAAAGAACAAAATTTGAGGACTCGTGATACCTGACTTTGAGACTTACTCTGAAGCTACAGCCATCAGGAAGATGTGGCGTAAATGTGGGCGAACACATCCGCGACACAGAGAAGCCAGAAACGGGCACGATCTGCTGATTCTCCACAAGGTCCCATCTCCATGGCCGTTCCGTGGAGAAAGGACGGTGTTTTCAGCGAGTGGAACGACTGGGCAGAAAGTGAATCTGAACTTCCCTTTCAGCTATAGGAAAGTTAATTCAACATAGATCTCAGGTATAAATACGAAAGCTAAAAGATCTAGACGGAAACACCAGCAGATGCCTTCATGACGTTGGGATGGGCAAGACTTTGCCATAGAAGACGGCAGAATCAATAACCATGTAAACTGATAGGTTTGACTTCATCAAAATTGAAAACTTTTGCTCATAAAAACGTTATTCGCGTACTGGATCTAAAATCAAAGTCACACTGGGTGGTGGCCACAGGACCCCCAGCCCGCGGCGCAGCGGGAGCGGCCCGGCTAGGGAGAAACCAGGCGGTGGGCCAGCGGCCAGGCCACACGCACCCTCCTGTCTCCGTGCGATAAAGCCGTCTTTGTGTTCTGAACGTTTTTTTCCGACATGAGGCTTTGCCACCCACAGCACGAAAGAGGTGATCTAATGTGAGTTTCTGTATGGGATTAAACACCTCCGAGACGCTCACAGGTAATGAGCTTTAATTACAGTCTCGAGCTCGCTGAAGAGTCGAGTTCGTGCAGATCTTCTCTCAGAAGGTCCCTGTTGCAGAGAGCTGCCTGATTCTGTCTCTTTTTTTAATTGAGGAGGGTCAGCATTTATACCATTTAGCATGTTGTTCTATGAAATACTTGAGAATTACCGAAAGACACAAAGGAGCAATGTCTTTAAGAAATGGAACATTGCCCTCCGGCAAACCTCCTGAACCCGGCACCTGCCGTCTCATCCGTTCTGCACACTTTTCCTCTGTGTCTCGGAACAACGTCTCAGCTCTTTCCAAACACGCGAGTCGAGCGTCCTGCCTGTTCTGGGCGCTGCCTTTTGCTCAGCATTGCGGTTGACATCTGCCTGTGTGGACGCGTGTCGCACAGCTCACTGGTCTTTAGTGCTGAGTGGCGCCGCGTGGCCTGGTCACGCCGTGGCTGGTGTACGTCCTCCTGCCAGGGGTGCGTGGTCTGAATGTCTCCCAACGTGCACGGGTGGAAGCGTGACCCCATTTTGGTGGCACTAAGAGGCGGGGCCTTCGGGGAAGGTGTTAGTCACGAGGGCCGACACCTTCACATTAGTAAAAGGGCTGCAGGGGCCCGCGTGGCCCTTCCGCCATGTGAGGACTCAGCACGTGTCCCCTCCAGGGGACGGAGCAACAAGGTGCCATCTCGAAAGCAGAGACCCAGCCGTCCCCAGACCCCCAAACCTGCCAGCCCTTGACCCTGGCTTTCAGCCGCCAGAACCGATTGCCGCTCTTCATAAATTGCCCCGTCTCGGTGTTCGGGGTGTCCTACGGCGCAAGCACACGGCCTTGGTGACGGTCACACGGCGCCTCTGCTGTCACGGGCGATGCTGACAGACCCCCACACCCTCTCTCCTGTCCATGCAGCTCCTCAGCCACCTCTGCTACTGATGCTCTGGGACAGCTGCCTCCCAGCGCAGCACTGTGTCCTTCCCAGAATGTTCCAGAAGTGCTGACGTGTGGGTGGGGAAAACCAGTCACCTGCTCCTGCCCCCCCAGCCCTCAGCCGAGGCCTGGGCTGCGTCTGAGCAGTAGAGAGAGAAGTGCAGAGGGCACCCAGGAGGCAGATTCTCCCTAATTGAGAACTAAAAAAAAAAATGTGAAAATGGGACTCCTGACGGGAAACATGGCAAAACGCGGGTGTTTGCATCGGGGCTATTTCTAAATTTTTTCTCCTTCTAATGTGCCAACATTCTCAAACCAGAGACCACCCAAGAAAACCCAGGAGTTGGGGCTGCCGCGGAGGCAGGGGCCTGGGTCCCGTCCTGGGTGACGAGCGGCCCCTCCGGGGCTGGCAGGGTCTGTCATCCTGACGGCGGCACGCTGCGCCCACCCAGGGCCACCGTGGCCATCTGTCCGCTGTCTTCTGGAACTTTGGCCGTTTTCCTTTCCCATACAGACGCGGCACCCCTCCGAACGGATCTTGTGGGTGGAGTGAGGGAGGATCGGGGTTTGTCTCCCCTCAGGACACCTGTTTGTGACAAGACATTGGAACCCGTCTAAACTGCGCCATCTCGTGAGCGCGTCCCAGGAGTTCTCTGCAGGAGCTGTCCTTGCTCACACATGCACATACACACAACTCACTGCCGTGTGCAGACACACGCACGCGTGTGCATGCTTCAGGGGCTGCCTGGGGGCATGGACTGGGACGTGTCTCCCTGTGGCCCAGGCAAGGGCAGGGCTGTGGGAAGAAGCGGCCACAGAAGGCCGGCGAGGACAAGGCGGCCTCCAGGCAAGACTCCCCTGAAAGGGCCTCAGCCCGCAGCCCCTGAGCGGACAGGGGCCAGATGCCCCTCCTTGCCAGGGCTCTGGTGCAGGCAGGGTGCCCCAGCGTCAGAAGGGGGTGGGGGGCCGCCGGGTCTCACAGGGTCTGAGCAGGTGCAGGTGCCGGCCCGGCCCATAGCTCCTCCCACTCCCACAGCGCACGGGGACAGATGTCTGCCCGCGTCCCCGGGAATTCCCAGGGCTGTCCTGGAGTGTTGCCCTGTGCCTCCGCTCCCCAGGACCCGAGGGGCAGGTCTCTCTTCTGCCCCGCTCAGAACAGCCCGGAACCCGACTGACCCCCAGCTGGCCTTTGCCCCTCACGTCCAGGCCGTCTTTAGTTCTCCAGGGGAAACAGGCCAAAGGTCTCTGCTCCTCTGACACAGCCGGTCTCTTCCCCAGCTGAGGGGCTCGTCGGTTTACTGGAGCCAAAGTGCACGAAGTTCACGGTTTTGTTCTAGACACTGCATTTCCTTAGGTGCTGCCAAGCTGTGCGTCGGGGCCGTGCCTGGGTCCGCGTCCTTCGGGTTGAGGCGTTCCTGTGTGTGTGTTTCCCTCAGAAACGGGGTGAGCGGCACGTGGGGACCGGCCGCAGCCGGATAGGACACTGTCCCCACGTGAGCCTGCAGTGACCGGGGACCCCCAAGTCCCCGCAGCTCTCACAGCCGCAGTGGTGGCGCCTGCGTTTGCCGGGGGTCGGAACCCACCCGTGTCCAGCCTGGAAACGCATCTCGCCCGGGGCACTACCGTGGTGGCCGCGAGGACCCTGCACCAGAACGGGCGCCCGGGAACTCGGCCAGGCGGGCGGGGTGGCAGCGCAGCCATCCGTCCCTTCTCTGCCCAGGGCCACGCTCTGGACCCACCGTGTCTGCTTCCTGGAGGAGCGCGCCCTGCCGCGCTGGGCCACCTTCACCATCTGGAACGCGGGCCGGCAGGGCCGCCAGCTGTATCGCAGCCTGAGCTCCGCCAGCAGGAGCAAGGTGGGCTCCTCACGACCCCCTCCGTCTGCTCTCCCCTGCTCGGCCCCGCCCTTCCCTGCCCTTCCTGGCTCCGCCTCCTCCCCTCCCCTAGCCCCGCCCCTCCCATCCTGCCCCGTCCAAAACCCACCCTGTGCTCCTCCCTCAGGTGGTCGCCTTCTGTGACGTGGACCAGAACAAGATCCAGAAGGGCTTCTACTGCTACGAGGATTCTCAGGTGTGTGGGGGCCGCGTCACCACCCTTGGGGTCACCGCCTGCCCTGGGCCGAGCAGGGCTGCCCAGAAGAGCCTCCCCGACGGCAGATGCGGCTTCAGGCTCCTTGGGGCCCAGGAGCCCGTCCCCAGGGACCCCCATGTGCCCTGGGCGAGGTCGGCCCACCCGCAGGGCCTGCAGGCGGCTGGGGCGTGGGGTGGAGACCTGGGCTCCCCGGGCAGACCGGGACAAACGGGGCAGACTTGGACAGACGGGGACAGACAGGATGCCCCCGACAGCCCTCGCCCCGCAGCACTGACGCCTGTCTCTTCTTGTCCGCCAGGAAAGGCCCAAGCCCCGGGTGCCCATCCTGCACTTCAGAGCAGCACGGCCACCCTTCGTCATCTGCGTGAAGCTGGTGAGTGTCGCCGCCCTAGGAGGCGGGTCTCGGAGTCTGCCCCTGACAGCCCCGTGTCCTACATGACGACGTGGGGCCCAGATGTGGCCCAGTCACACGATCAAGGGCTTGGGGACACGTGGCCACAGCCCCCCGCACCCTGCTGGAGGCCAGCTGTCGTCACACACCCGCTACCTAACCCTAACCCCAGGCAGCCCGGGCACCGGTCTGTCCTTCCTTTAAACGTGTAAAACCAGTGCTCACCGGAGACTCGCAAAGCACGGGCGGGTCGGTCTGGGGGGCCCTGGTCAGTGACCGGATGTGTAGAAACCGCTAAACCCATGCAGCAAAGGTAATGACGACCACTAGGGTCACCAAGGGCCACCCCCGGCCCATGCAGCCACTGCCCCATGGGGACTGTCCTGCTGGAAGCTGGGGGTGCCAACCCTGCCGTGGCGTCTACACAGCCTGTTGGTGCACCCCCGGCAGCAGGCTTCTGGGTTATTTCTAGCCTTCTCTGCTGTCACGCTACATTATGAGCAAATCCACCGTCCCTAAGGGTCAGACCGTTCCTGCCACCGCGCAGGCCTGGGTCAGCGCCCTACCTTGGCGACCCAGACGTCAGCTTCCTGCTCGGGGCTGATGTGCTCGCCCAGGACTGAGCCCGTGTCTTTCTGGTTGTCCGCATCTTTCTGATTTTTAGTTTCCATCTATTGGGGACACTAGTCCATGGTCACTTAAGCGTGTGGCAAGTATTTCCTCCCAGTTGGCTTTTGTGGTTCTGCTCAGAACTTTCCGTGCGGTGGCGTCTGTCGACGTTGGTGTCCTGCTTAGGAAGTTCTTCCCTGAGGTGGGACAGGCACAGCTCTTACACGGAATTACACGTATACGAACGTGAAGTGCCCCTCAGTGACCTGTGGGTTGGGCGGTGAAGGTCACTTCCTCTGTGCCTGCCGTGCCCCAGGTCACTGCCCGTGTGGCGTGGCCTGGACAGCGTCCTGGCCTGCTGGGCCTCAGCCCTCGTCATGGTGAGGTCGGCCTGTCGGTTCCCTGAACATCCCGATGGAATTGAGGGCGCAGGCTGGGCGCGGGGTGCCCAGAGCCGCCGGCAGACGTTCTCACCCATCTCGGTGCACCTGTCCTGGGCACCGTAGGAGTTTGCTACTGTGCACGTGGCGCCTTCCCGAGAGCTGCACCCTGCTGCCACGGGAGTGAGGCCGACTGTGTTGGTCTAGCCGGCAGCCGACACATGGGTCAGGAGGCGCAGTCTCCTCTCTGCAGTGACGCCGTGGCCTCTCTTCCCCCCTCCCCGCCTCGGGGGCTGGTCTTGTCCTAACTGCCTTCCAGGGTGGGGGCTGCCTGTGCTGGGCTGGGCCTGTTTCTGAAGAACCTCCCCTTCCACGTGGTGGTGAGTTCTTCGCCTGTTTTCATCAAGGCCTTTTAACCAGAGAAGGAGCCACCCTTTCATTCCTGGTTTCAGAGTCCCTCTTTGAAACCTTTTTGTAATGGAAAATTCTAAACATGTGCGAAGTAAACAGAAAGCACAGCCGCTCCTGAGCCCAGACCAGCTCTCGCGATGCCGGGCGCTGACCACGGAGGGCCTGGGTCTGTGACCGTCCGGCGTTCACCTCCCAGGGTTTGGGGCGGCTGCCGCGGCCAGCCCTGCCCTGCGGTGTGCGGATGGGTGTGCCGGGCCCTGAGCTGTGCTGCCCGGGTCGTGAGTGGACACAGCCTGCTGCTTCCAGCAGCTTCCAGCCTGTGAGGGCTGGACCCACATCCGGCCAGGGCCAGGGGTGGATTCCCGCCCCACGGAAGCCGTGAGAGATCAGTGTGTGTTGCTGCCTAGTTTGTGGTAATTTGTTATACAGCAACAGGTAACGACCTCATACAGGTCCAAGCGGGCAAACAGTCACAAACAGAGCAAAACCTCAGGGGTACAAGTTTTTGGCAATGACGTGCGTCAGGCCTGTTGTATTGCGGTTCACTTTATTGCACTTTGCAGATGTTGCTATTTTCTTTTTTAAATGGAGGTTTGTGTCGACCCTGCATCAAGCCAGTCTGTTGGGGCCATGCTTCCAGCAACGTGCTCACTTCACGTCTCTGCATCTCATTTTGGTAATTTTCCCAATATTTTAAACTTTTTCATTATTACTTTATCTGTTATGGTGATCTGTGGTCAGTGAACGCTGATGTCACTATGGTAATTGTGGGGAGCTCCATAGACCCCACCATGTAAGATGGTGAATAGAACGTCCTGTGCTTCGCCTGCGCCACCGGCCAGCCGTTCCCACTCCCTCTCCTCGGGCCTCCCTGCGCCCTGAGACGCAACAGTGTTGAAACTGGCCCAGTCAGGAACCCTACGGTGGCCTCTAAGTGTTCGAGTGAAAGGAAGAGTCACACGCCTGTCACCCTGCATCAAAGCCAGGAGCGACAGCTCAGTGAGGAAGGCCTGTCGAAGGCCAGGCCAGGCCGAAAGCTGGGCCTCTCGAGCCAGTCGGCCACACTGTAAATGCACAAGAGAGAAGTTCCGGAAAGAAATCCGAAGCGCTGCTCCAGGGAACGCGGGTGGTGAGAAAATGAAACAGCCTCGTTGCCGACACGGAGCAAGTCTGAGTGACGAGGACAGAGATCACACCGGCCGCGACACTCCCTCGAGCCGACCCTGATCCAGCCGGGCCCTGAGTCTCGCGGCCCCGCGACGGCCGAGGGAGCTGCAGAAGAAAAGGTGGAGCTGGCACAGGCCGGGTCGCGAGGTTTAAGGCAAGACGCCGTCTCCCTAACGTGCGAGCGCGGGGCGGAGCAGCAGGTGCTGATGCAGAAACTACGGCAGTTTATGCCGAAGACCCAGCGAAGCCCAGTGGAGACGGCGGCTACAGCAAACACATCTTCAGGGGAGACGCAACAGCCTTCCCGGGGAAGAAGGTGCCCATCTGGACTCTCACGTGCGAGAGGAGAGGGCAACTCCCGGCCTCGAAGCTTCACGGCGCAGGCCGACTCTCCCGTCAGGGGCCGAGAAGGCTGGAGACTGAGCTGCAGCCGGTGCTCGTCTAACGTTCCAGAATCCCAGGGCCCTTGAGAATTACGCTCCACCTGCTCTGCCGTGCTCGATGAATGCAGCGAAGCCCGGTGACAGCACATCTGTTTACGGCACGGTGTCCTCGATACTTCAAACGCACTGCTGAGAACTGCTGCTCAGGAAGAGATTCCTTTCAGAACATCACTACTGACAACGCGCCTCCTCACCCCAGAGCTCTGATGGAGACGCACAAGGAGATTCACGCCGTTTTCATGCTGCTCACACAGCATCCATTCCGCAGCCCAGGGATCAAGGGATAACTTCAAGTCTTACTACTTACGAAATATGTGCCCTCCCCACCAGGCCCCCGCTCCCCGCCCTGCCTGCGTTTTGAAGCTAACCCCAGCCTGATTCCAGTCGTTTCCCTGCGTATCTCAAAAAGATAAAATCCTTTAAAAAGACCATAATACCACTGTCCCACCCCAAACTTCCGAATATCCAGTTGGTGTTCAAATTCCCTTAATTGCCTTATAAATTGTTTTTTAATAGTTTCCTTATCCAGTAAGGTCTGTGTGACCTCAACGGCATGACCTTTCATCTCCCTGACCCCATTGGGTCGCTGCCGCCCTCCGGTTTCCTCGCAGCCGAGTTGCTGAGGATGCTGCCCTGGGCTCCCTGCCCTCCCGCTGAGGTCTCAGGGCAGAGGCTTCCTGGGGTTCCAGTCTCTGGGCAGGAACACTCCAGAGCTCGTAGGGCACCTGGGTGGTCTCTCGTCCTGCCTTCTCCCGCTGCTGGCTGGGAGAGTCCACGAGACATTTATGGGGGTTCATGTGCCTCTTTTAAAAATACCTGCGTGCTACTCAGTTATATGAACGTTTCCTAGTTTATTATCCAGTACTGATGGGTGTGCCTTTAGGCCTTGATTGTTTTTTGTTTGTTTTTTTTGCTCTGTCACCCAGGCTAGAGCACAGTGGTGTCATCATAGCTCACCACAGCCTCAAACTCCCGGGTTCCAGCGATCCTCGTGCCTCAGCCTCCCAGAGTGCTGGGATCACAGGTGTGAGCTGCCGCACAGCGCTGTAGGCTGTTTTAACATTTGCTGTTACAAACAATGAACGGTGAATAGCTGCCCATACACATGATTCTGCTCAAGTGGCTCTATATGGGATAAATTTCTAAAAATTTCTGGGTCAAAAAGCATGCACATCGTGAGTTCTGGACCCGCCATTCACCACCCAGAGGGTCTGTGCCGGCTGAGCTCCCCGCTGTAAGGGGCCTGGTTTTCTCGCCCTTCACTGCCGTGTGATCAAATCTGAGACGTTTGCAAATCTCGGTGGAAAATGTAGCAGCTCCATCCGATTGGTGA